TCTTATTTTTCCAACAATTGAAAAGTATTAGATAGAAAAAGAAAAGAAAAACTAACAAAAAGCAAAAAAGGAAGTAGACTACTGCCTTAGATTAAGAGATTTAGAAGATAAGACACAACAACCAAACACAAGGTGTGGACTTTCCTTGGATCCCAATTAGAAATCTGAGAAGGGGGGGAGCATGAAAGATACCACCAAATTGCTCATTTGATTAGGTGTGATAATGGTCTGCAGTTTTATAAGCTAATATCTGCCTTTTATAAAGACGTGTACTAAATCTATGCGTGTAGGACTGCAATAAAGCAACAGTGCCTGGGGTCTGCTTAAAAAGAGAGAGACATGGAGGATGAAACAGAGAAGAAAGCCAGAGAGGCAGGATCTTGAAAATTCTAGACTCTCAGGGACAGGATTTATTATACCGTTATCTCTGCACTTCATGAAAATAGAACGTAACACTAACATCCTGCTTGGTATTTATCAAAGACTTGCAGGATGCAACACCAGCACTTCTAATCAATAACACAGCAGAGGAGACCTCACTAAACTGGTGTAATTCCTGGAAAATGCAAAAGGCACTGGACGTTTTAGTTGGCCTAGCCCAGAAACATTTCTTTTAGGTTTTCTGAAATACTAGAAGTAGCTCTCCTATCTCTACTATCGTCTTTGTAGACTCCTAAATTGAGAATTATTAACTGATCCAGCCACTGAGACTAGGTGTTAGTAAAAACTAGGACATGGAGACATCAGATAAGTCTCAGTTTGCTCATCTGTAAAATGGAAGGCTTACAGCTGTCAATTTTAGCTCTGACATTCTGGACCCAGGGCCTAGACAATCACTAGGAGAAGGAAGGGGAGTGGATGAAAAGGGGCCATGGGAGTGTACCCCTCGAGGAGTTTTTCCTGCCCTGAATTTGTCATTCGGACCTGGAGGCCAGGGAACTCTTTGCTCACCCCAGGCCTGCCTTACTCACCATCCCGAAGAAGCCAGGCCTGTCTTCAGGCACATGCAGCTCTGGAAACACAGTCTCTAAGAACCATTTGAAGTCCTTGCACTGGAGCTTTTCCCGGAGCTGCCTCCTCTCTGTCACATCCCCAAAGGGTTCCTGAGGAAAATAACAAAACAGGGAGTCCCTGCAGGTCCCAGTGCTTCTGTCAAAGCCCTTCTCAGATGCTCACTTATTACCAACCAACCAGCTTTTACTGAGTGTCTATTATGGGCCAGGCCCTCTGCAGAGCACAGAGGATAAAAGCAGCCTCACTCCCAGTTCCAGCATCTGGCAGGTGCTCTTGCTCCAGGGAGGTTCAGGCAGATGCAGGAGGAGACAGCTCACCTACTGATGGGGCTGGGAGCCAAACCCTGGGGCTGTACTCATAACCCTGGACCTATGTGTCATCAGAGGCATCTCCACAAAATAGCAGCTTCACCAAGACATATGCCAGTATGTTCTGATTTACAATTAAATCTGAATATTCACTTGCAAACACAGGTACGTATTGTAGATGGAGTCATATTCTCAATATATTGAAGTATTCATATATCTTTATGATGGCAAGAGCAAAATGCTGCAAGAAGAAATACTTGTGGATGTTTGGTTTTATAGCCAAGAGCAAATGATGGAGAACTTTTGAATAATTAAAGTAAGCCTCTATTTAGTATGGCAAATGTGCAGCCATAAGAAAAATGCTGAGTGCTGAGATGATACTACCATCCCTGTACTATTAATAATTAACAGATTAAATATTAAACAAAATGGTAATAATAAGTATTGCTTTAACAAAAACTTCAGATTTCTGCTATTTCCCAAAAGTTCTTTCATGGATGAGCGTCACTGGGGCCCTCAGCCTCAATCAAATACCCATTTTGACACTCAGCCCTTAGTCATTCTGCCTAACAGTATGTTTGGTGCTGTTTTAAAAAAATCTCTGGGAAGCCTCAGGAGCAGGGAACTGCGGGTTCCAGACAGGTCACCAGGGCACAGCAGGTATTTCTATTCTACAGTGCCTGAGCAAGAGAAAGGAAGCAGAGGCAAATGATCCTGGGGCCCCACAGGCAGAGGGACCTGGGCCAGGGGTCAGGTGGAACGTCCTAGGGCTCTGCACAGAAGAGATGCAGGTGTGCTAGAATATCCAGGCCCCAGGCCTTGGACAAGTCCCTCATCTATAAAATGAGAATTGCTTAGCTACCTTGCAGAGTTGCTAGGAGTCAGAAGAGACTTCCATCAGGTGGCCTGGCAGGACATCTTAGAGCAAGACCTTGCCTTGCCAAGCAGCCTTCCTAGTTATGCAAATGCCGGACAAGGGTGCCCTGTCCTGGGCGTACAGAGCCAGCCAGGTACAGCCACAGGGTTGTGTTCTCTGAAGCTCAAGATCTTCTAGGAAATAAAAGGTGATCCTTCATGCACAAAAATCCCTGAGGCAGGGGCAGAACAGGCTCTGGGGCAGGTAATTACAAGCCCCTGAGATAAACTGCTTTGAGGAAAGACAATGTTGGGTGAGACCCAGACTCAGACTCAGACTCCCTCAGGGCCTCAGTGCAGGGGCTTGGGCTAATGTCAGTGCAGTGCGTGCCACGTCCACGGGGAGCAAGCCAAACAGAACAGAAACCTTGGTGACTGTGGGGACACCTTCGCCATTGCTAGGCCAGCAGGCCTCTATGAGTGGAGGTGGAGGGTACCTGTTAGGCTATGGGCCCCATCTTCAACAGCCATGACACATGGCCAGGAGTGGCAGTGGGAGCCTAAATACTCTCCAGCTCTTTCCATCTGGTGATTGAAGGAGAAAAGACTCCCTGTTTGGGAAGGGTAAGCTTCCAGGGATCTTGGGCAATTCAAGGGGGCTAGGAAGAGACCTTTAGAGAGAGAAAGAAGACCCCTCACTAAGAAGGCAGGTGAGCTCCTGAGCACAACTTTAAGGCAGAAACTACCTTAACTTGCACCTTGAGTCTTAGACCCAATCCTGCTCCACCAGGAGGAAAGCCGTAACACATACACACGCCTGACATGTGACACCAGGCCCTCCAGACCATCTATGCCGGCCCAGCCAATCCTCATCATTGGCTAGTTCTGTATCTGTGAATCTGCTGATGTGCTGAAATTTACAACCCCCAAATCAATACTTGCGGTATTTTCAAATTTTCACAGAATAAAAATAAAATATTAATACTTGAGTTGTATATTAATAAGATAATAATAATTGAGTTGCCCAATGCCCACATTCCCCAGTGAGGCTAAACAGGGCAATGATCTGCCTTCTTTTCTCAGCTCTCATACTGTAAACAAGTGTCTGTTTCAGTCCACTGATTTTCATGTTTCTTCTGCTTTGTGTTGGTGATTCTACTGGCCATTCTAACATGGCCTTCAATCACGTGCCAAACTGCTATTTAGCGTTCCTAAAAGCAAGAAGGTATGTGTCTTAGGAAGAAAATACGTAAGGGAAGCTTTGTCCAGGCACGAGTTAGGGCAGTGATTTTCAGCTGGTGTGCCATGAGAATTTTTAAAGATCATTAGTTAAATTATTTTCTAAAGACTTCCAAAGCACAGTATGTTCTTTTTTACTTTTTTTGATCAACATAATTTAAGTGTGAAGTTTAACTATTTCGGTTTAAGTGTACCATGAGATAAAAAATGTTGACAGCACTGAGTTAGAGTTCTGTTGGCTGCAAGTGCAATGCTAATGATGCTACAATATATGCCAAATAAGGTGTCTTTGAACAGAAACACACATGTAACAAGACTCAATATTGACCGGTTGACAAAACTGCTAAGACCCAAGTCTCGTAGGAGTCTAACCCTATATTTCTCCCAGAAGCAATGGCTCGGTTTTCACTAATACAGTGTTTGTCATGGCTTTATGGAACACAAGTATTGTGACTTACAGGAATTGACGATATATTATTATTTGAAATGGAGGAATAAAGTTTTCCAATACTTATGAATATTTAATGTCATGAATGCATCTTTTATCCTCTATTCCTGGAATCAGATCTACTGAGTTAGAGGCCAGACTCAGCTGCTTCTGTTCAGATGAAGCCACATGGAGAGCAGGTGGGCCCCTGGGAACTCACCAAGCGGGCGCGGGGGTTGCGATGATAGTACAGCTCTTTATAGTCATCCATCCACACTTCAGCCGCACGGACACTGTTGGCCAGGGCCTTGTTGCGGGAGTAGGGAGCTTGCTTGGGGAAAACATGGCCAACGTGGGAACACGGGTGTGTTTCCAGACTCCCACCGCACTGCCAGATCTGCACACAGAGCAGAGGGGAGGTGAGCAGGGTGATGAGCGGCCAGCCCACACTGGCTGTTGCAGAGAGGCCACATACAAGGTGGTCATAATGTACACCACCCAGATGCTCAGCCTCCATGGGGCAGGAAGCCACTTACCCGACACACTGATGACACAGAGTACAGGCAGCCCCAGCCCCAGTGACAACTACATCAGTGGAACCAAGACCCCAACGTCCATGCACTAAAGCACATGCATTTAACTCAGCCCCCGCAGGCCTCACTGGCAACCCATGTACTCATTACGTAACACACAGGCTTGATTACCTGATCTCCTAGCCACAGAAGATAGGAAAGCAGCAAGGAAGAAGAGAAGTTTGGAAGAGGGAAAGGAAGAGCTTCAAGAAATAGGCAGAGCAGCCTGACACCTAGGGAAGAGGCAGAGAGACCATTAAGCACACCCAAAGACTCACGGGCAGAGTCATCTGGGGCCACTGCATGCGGGGACAACACCCACGAACATCTCATTTTCCTAAGGGTAGTACAAGCAAGGATAGCATCTGCTACTTATTATGGAGAGCACGAGTCCTCAGTGGAAGGCCAAATTCTTGTTTATTAACTCTTTTTATGAGGTGGGACACCATATAAAATATTGTTATCATTTTAATTTTCTGTTGAAAAGCACAAACATTTCCATAAAGTTTTGACACTTAACATGTGAGATTCTGGCTGTACGTGGTGGCTCACACCTGTAATCCTAACACTCTGTGAGGCAATGGAGGGAACAATCACTGAGCTCAGGAACTCGAGATCAGACCGAGCAAGAATCAGACCCTGTCTCTACCAAAAATGGAAGAATTAGGCTCAGCGCCTGTAGCTCAGTGGCTAAGGCACCAGCCACATGCACAGGCCTCACTCCTCCCCCCTGCACAGAGAGGGAAGAACTAGGTGACTTGCAAGGCACTTTCTAGTCCCAAATCTATTCAAAGTACATATTTTAAAAAGTTGAACCCACAAGGCAAGCATGTTTATAGGATGTGCATATTATTATCATCTTTCACGATCATTGGGTAAACTGCAAATAAGGGGGAAAAAATCCACCAGGCTGTCATAGCAAATCCCATCATTCTGAGGGGGGAGACGGAGAGAGGGAGACAGAGAAAAAGAGAGAACAGGTTAAGAATGAGTGCAAAGAGAAGACTGGAATACTTACCCTAAAGGAGAATTCGAGGTTTTCTCCTCCCCAGACTTCCATTCCTGTATCATAAGATCCCAGATATTCAAAATATTTCTTACTCACAGCAAACAACCCTCCAGCCATGGTTGGAGACCTGGAAAGGTATGATACCCGTATATCACTGTAAGCAGCAGGAAACCCTCCCCGTTGGTCTAACTGCCTTCCCACCACCAGCCCTCTCATCCATCTCTGAGCATGAGCTGCTGCGTGGTGCTCCTGCCCCTGAAGCTGGGCCTGCAGCTACCCCAAGGGCCCCACCCTGAGGAGGTGCACAGGTGTCTCAACAGGCACCTACCCTGTG